GTATATCGTGGTTGATGACGTCAAAGGCCTTTGAGAGGTCTATGAATACACCTACAGTCAGTATCTTTTCGTTAAGATTATTCATAACATTTTGTGCTAATTGCAGCACAGCTTGCTCAGTTGAATGCTGTGCTCTGTAGCCATATTGATTATCATTTAATAATTTATTTATGGACAGAAATGAGGTGACTCTGACAAAAATTATTTTTTCTAGTACTTTGGAAAGTGGAGAAAGTAGAGATATTGGTCGATAATTACTTGTCTCTAATTTGCTCCCCTTTTTGTGAATTGGAACTACTCTGGATGTTTTGAAGCATTGTGGAAATATTCCTTGGACGATGGAAAGATTGTAAATATGAGTGATTGGGATGACAATTTCTGGGATGATTTTTTTAAGTAGATTGTTACTTAAAGTATCATCTGACGTGCTTTTTTTGTTGCTTAAGTTTTGAACAATGTACGTTACTTCTTCTTCATTGGTGGAGTTCATATACATTGATTTACAGATTGCACTATTTATTTATATATATATATATATATTATTATTATTATGTTATTCACTCTATTGACATTCCTCATCAGAGGATTGTACTGTGATTAAATGCTTTGTTGAACAAATAACTTTTTAACTCTCTTCTGAAATCTTTTTCTGGAACAATTTGCTTCAATCTTCAACACACACACACACACACACACACACACACATATATATATATATATATATATATATATATATATATATATATATATATATATATTAATATGTATATAATATATATAGTAACATATAGATACATGTGAACATACATATAATACATATATATATAACATCTGCTGTCTGATTATATTATAATTATATTGTAAATAGATTGCCTTTCTAGTGTTGCTATTTTTTAATTTTAAACACGAGATTAAGACGGCCGATGTAGGTTGTCCTTTCGCAGGTGCGGTGTGGATGCAGTACGGGTTCACGTTCACGAGTTCAGAGTTCACGGCCGCAACTCTGCAGATGTGGGCGGTTACTGTTTGGAAAAATCTTCTCTGCTCAGGGCTCTAGTAGACACACATAAACCAACAAACATTCCAATATATAAAATAAACTATTTAAAAAAAAGAATGACAAAGTATAATAATAAATCCATTACCCTCCACAAAAAAAAGATAACAAATAAATAGAAACCAAAAAACCTACAGTGATATCCCAAATCCTAACTTGACCACCGAGGCAGCCCGACGCAAGAAGTGTGGGGTACTTGGGGTGGAATGCGATACACCACGGCGTTCTTGGATGGCCCTTCAGTGTCTGCACACATTTCCCGGTACTAATTTCTGAAATCCTAATTGTATGATCGCCGTGCGAGGAAGCTATGTATTTCCTAGTGTGTGGATAGAAGTTTAGAATTTTTAATAATTTTTGAAAGAAATTGGTCTTTTAATATTTTTTAAAGTTAATTATTCATTGCCTGTTAAATATTAAATAAATATATATATATATAATATATATATAAATATATTAAAATAATTTTGTCAACATTTTAATGTCATCATTTACTGAACTAGATTATAGATTATCAGTAATGATAATGACAAAGAAGCATTATTATGAAGGATGTACAACCGATAGAAATTAATTTGAAAATTTGAATAAAAATGAAATGAGCAGCTTTTTATTTAATAACCGGTCATAGCTGAAATCAATAATCATCGTTGATTTCGTTTGCCGAGATATCTCGAATGGCTGAATTTAAAAAAAATTAATTTCATTGTTATAAAAAAGTCATCACATTAGGATTAGGACAACTGGGCTCAGGCTTTTAATTCATTTTTTATTTATTTATTATTTTAACCAGAAAAAACATTTTTATTGACGGATAAATTTTTAAAATCATAAATTTATTATTTATAAAATACATAATATAGTTAATAGTAGTTCAAATTATGATCATGCATCTTATTCATATTAAAACCAAAGAAAACATTTTTATTGATGGATGAATTTTTTTTAAAATTATTCATTTTCACCAGAGAAGACATTTTTTTTATAAATTTGACATTCAAATTAGTACTTAAAAATCATCACTTTATTATTTGTATCAAGGTTAGAGGTTTTTTCTTCTATGAATTTTTTGAAGCACAAATCGGGGTTGGCCTTTTTACTGAGTCTCGACCTTTTGACACCCAACTCTCTCATCTGCAAGCACTGAACAGTGTTGCCGTGATGGCTGTTATGGCCGAACATCGCTTCGTGGGTGGCCTTCCTAGTCCTCATAAAATGGATGACAGGATGAGGATACAGCCTCCTTCAGTCTTATATATGTGTTGATAATAGAGTAGACTTAATTACTTAATAATATTAATGTTATTTACCAAGTTATCTTTACTTTAGTTTAGAGTTAGTTTTTTTTACTAGTTTCTTTTGAGTGGATTATTTTATTTTATTAAATATTTTTTAAGTAGGACAAAAATTAAAAATGTGAAAACTAAATTTTCTGAGTGTGACGTGTTAAGTGTTGATCAGGAAAATTTTTTTTTAAATAGAAAAAGTGCAAAATCAAAATGGAGATGGAAAATTAAAAATAACCAACTTGATTTTGTTTTAAGTTTTGTGATTTTTTTCGACGTGATCTGAGAAAGTTTAAATTAATTGGGACAAATATCCTACTCGGACATTATGTAATCAAATAAATAAAAAATAAACAAAACAACTCGTAATTAATTCCCCAAAATCTTTCTGCCTAACTCAAAAAAACAACACTAAACGACAAAAATCCAAATAGATTCTTTGTCGACCCTCCACATTAGATCGATATTTCTTATATTTTTTAATAAAAAACACAAAAAGTATGGAAAGTTGTAAACACATTAGTTTTTATTAAATAATCATTTTTCTTTTAATTTCTAAGTTGTTTGTTAAAATTTAACAATAAAATAGTATAATAAAAACGTTTTTAATGTATTTTTGTTATAATTTGTTTAAATTATCTTTAAATTAGCATGTTGAGATTTGGTGAAATAGAACGAATGACAAGACATTTTAAAAAAATTGGAAATTCCCAACTGCTGTTATTTTTTTAAAAGTGAAAAAATGTCCTAATTAAATGCCGAAGCATTTTTTCCAATATCAAATTAAAAATTAGGAAAAATTAGGTGTAACATTAAAAAATTTGAATTTCTAATTAAGAGATGAGTGGTTTAAGAACGGATTTTTCTGAATGTTCGTCTCTTTGTACTTGTAGTCAACAGCTGCAGCCAAGAAAACCATTTTTGATTGGAGTTTCTGGAGGAACTGCCTCTGGAAAAGTAAACTTACACTTAAATATTTTAAAAAATATAATATAAAAGTAATAGATGTAAGGTAATCTTGAGTAACATGTCGTTAAGAAGGTGCTTGTTCAACTTTTATTTCATTGATTAGTGTTTCTACTTTGTTTACTTTACTTACTCATCTTACAGTTCTTACTGTTTGCCATTTTGAAATAAAATTTTTATTTGTTGTTTGGTTTGCCTTTTTGAAGTAAAATTTTTATTTTAGACAAATATTATTACTAGTTACCTAAATTTTTAAATCTATTTTTGTGTCAATCAAATAATAAATAAATAGTGAATTCAATTGATCCAATTGAACCGATGCTTTAATTTAAATTTAAAACAATCTGTTAATTTAATTAATTAAATATTTATTTAAAAAACTATGTACGTTTTTAAGTTCAAACTAATTATTAATTCAGAGCTTCTATTCTTAATTCAGTCAACAGTTTGTCAGAAAATAGTGCAACAGCTTGGGGACAAGGAGGGAGATAACGAGAACAATCAGAGAGTGTCAATAATTAGCCTAGATAGCTTCTACAAAGATCTCTCAAATGAAGAAAATGAACTGGCACTGCTTGGCAAATTCGACTTTGACCACCCAAGTTAGTGATTAGAGATTAGGAATTGTTATTTTATTTTGATCAACAATCAATCAATCAATTGAATTAATTGATTGAATCAGTTAATCAAATATATTTATATAGCATACATCTCTACTATTCAGTGATGCTTTAGCAGCCAAATTAATTGGCAAAATGAAGTGCTCCCAATTACTGAAATAGTAATAATAAAATTATCACACTATATAATAATGATACTATTACTTATTAATATTATTAATTATTATTTTTATTATTATTTAAATAGGAGTTTTCGATTATGAGTTACTGAAGAGAACTCTATTGGAGTTGATGAATGGAAACACCATTGAGATATTTGATTACGATCACAAGCTCCATAAAAGGTTATTATTATTATTATTATTATTGTTGTTGTTGTTGTTGTTATTATTACTATTACTATCAATGTTGTTTCTACTGTTACTCTTATTTTTATCACAGGAATAAAGAAAAAAGCCGAAAGATATCCTCTGCTGATGTTGTCTTAGTTGAAGGTTAATAATAATTATAATAATTATAATAATAATAATATTAATAATAAATTTAATAATTAGTAAAATATAAATACTTTCATTTTTCCATTGTTTCATCTTTACAATCTTAATTATCATTATCATCGTTCATCATCATCATTATTATTATTTTTATTATTATCGTTAAGTTGGCGTTCATTAATAAAATATAATAAAATTAGCAGGTAATTAGCATAATTTATGATAATTTATTCCAAAAAAAGGTATCTTAGTGTTCTATCAGGAAGACGTGAGAGCCCTGTTTAATAT